CGTGTGTGTGTGTGGGTGTATTTGTTTTTTGTTCTTCTGTTCAGTGTCGCATTTTTTTGTTATCCAGTCTTCTAGTGACATGTGAGCATTGTCGGTCTGACTCTTAGAAAAGTACAGCTCAAGAATGTGGGTGGTTGGTAGGATACAGTATACATCCCTCTCTGCCTGGTTTGGCCCTGACTAGCATGGTCGAAGCCCGCCTCTTAAATGATCTAAATTGTGTCGATGGGGATGTAAAACACACACACACACACACACACACACACACACACACACACACACACACACATAAAATCTCTGTGTCTTGTCCTTTCCTTTGTTGTAGCTTTGCCAGGTCACTATGACATTTGTTGACCAAAAGTGAGTCGATAGTGCCGTAAAACTCCTGTATTCAAACAAACAAGCCATATGATTTTATTTATATTGTCAGTGGATCTGCTGTTGTTGGTGTTGGCTGGCGTGCGTGCGTCTCTGTGTCTTTTGAAGGTCTGTCCAGTCTGGATACTACGAGTTGGTCCCGTACTAAACATTTATTTATATTACTGAACTTTCAGGTCTGGCAGTGCAACCCCAGGATCGGGGTCACGGTCGCAGAATGGACGCAAGAATCCCCCGAAGAAGCGTGACCCTGACCGCAGTCGCAGCGCCCAGTCGACGGAGAGCTCTCGCTCCAGCACCCCACGCTCGCCGCTCAACGGGAAGTACAAGAAGGGGGATGTGGTCAGCGCCGCCAACGGGGTGCGCAAAAAGTTCAACGGCAAGCAGTGGAGACGACTCTGCTCCCGGGAAGGGTGAGGGCTTGGGGTTTTTTTTTTAACCATTCAGAGCACATTGTCGTTGTTCATTGTTCATTGTGATTGTTCAGCTCTTTTTGACCAGTGTGTTGTTACTTATTTTACCATTGCTGATGTTCCTCAAATTTCTTACCAACTGGAAAATGTTTAAATGTGTCCCGCATGCTCATTTGACAAAATTGACTGGGTAGAAACAGGGAATAGACCCTGTATCATCATCATCACCATCATCATCATCATCATCATCATCATCATCATCATCATCATCATCATCATCATCATCAAGTGTCAGATCTGCTAGACATCTACGATCATGGTTCTCCATTCATTCCTTTGCCCCGATGTTCTTAATAAAGCTACAAAGCCCTGATCTTTCCCAACTGTTGAGGCTCTCCAAGTAGGTTGCTCTGGGCCTGCCCCTGCCTGGTTTGCCTTCAGTTTAGACCCATATATATACTAAGAGTTGAAAATGTGTTGTTTTTTTATCTGCCGTTCCTGCAGGTGCACCAAAGAGTCGCAGCGACGCGGCTGCTGCTCCAGGCACTTGTCTCTCAAGGGCAAGGGCCTCCGGCACACGCCCAACTACCCCGGCTGTCGGCAGGGGGCGCTGAAAGAAGGTCACATCGAGTGGACGGGAGAGGGTCACGGGGAGTATGAGCGGGAACGTATGATGCCCAACAGGTATGTGCTCGGGTGTGTGGTGGTCAGTACGGGTGTGTGGGGGTCAGTTCGAGTGTGTGGTGGTCAGTACGGGTGTGAGGGGGTCAGTTCAGGTGGGTGCTGGTCAGTACAGGTGTGTGGGGGTCAGTGCAGTGTGTGTGGTGGTCAGCACAGGTGTGTGTGGTGGTCAGCACAGGTGTGTGTGGGTCAGTACAGAGCTTCGTCAGGAACATAATACAAAAAAATTATTATTATTATTATTATTGTTATCATCATCCTCTCATTCACCCTGTCAATCCCCAGAT